CGCTTTACCGGTGTAAATCAGGAGGGGGCCCATTCGGATTATGACATTAATGGTGCCCTGTACCCTCGGTCCACACCAAGCACTAGCTGGAGTCCTTAACAGGGTACCCAGGGGAAGAAAACGCCCACGGGCAGCGGGAAGCGCGCTTGTTCTCCGGGAGGGACAAACCTACAAGGGTCTCTCCTTCCTTTTATGATCAATTTAGTTAGCAAGCCATACTTTAAAGACAAGATCTATTTCTTTTTCTTTAAAACAAACCGCCGTGAGCCTGGTCTGTGGAGTTCCTTTAAGAAAGAAAGATAAGGCTCCCAATTTGACTGAAAAGAAAGGCAGGAAAAATGGAATCGGAATGTACGTCGAACCTAAATTTTACCCCGAAACGAACTGTATGCCGAGGTAACATTTGATGTTTCAGATGTTGGGAGATCTTTGTCTGATCTCCTTGCTTCTGATGCGACCTGGAGCCAAAAGAAAGGCGTTATAGTAATAGATATTATGTATTTATCTCCAGTCACTAGAAAGGAATTAAAAAGAGCTAAACATCAGAGCTTCCGAGGGATGAGATCTGGTTACCGACGCTTCGGTCTAAATCTTCCTCTTGAATCTTTGGACTCTATTTCTGCAGCTCTCTTGGCGGCTTGCGGAGCCCGGCTGTTAGCTGCGGAGTCAACTCGCGGAAGGCTTGCAGGGAAAAACCTTCCCTTGAGCAGCACTTGGGCAGCTGCCGGCACAGCCCGATGCGGACTTGCAGGACATGTGCCTCCCGGTGCCCGGCGCCGGCACACCGCGCTCCGCGGGCTCTGCCTGCCCCGACGGCGAGGTGCGCAGCCAGCTGCGGAGCCCGGCTCCCCAGTGCCCAGGGAAGGTGAATGCGTTGAAGAAATGTTGCAATATATCCGATGCTGGAAATCGGCAGCAAGTGCAATCACGCGTTATAATTGTCCCCTGTGTCACCCGACAATGGTCCCTATTTATCGCATTGGTGTCATCCACTCGTTAAGACTGTCAGTGTATAATGAACCATGGTTATTGCCTAATACGGAGCGTCTCCTTTCCCACCCGCCGAGGATTGTTCGCTCCCTCGCTCCACGAAGGTATTTCATTTACGCTCAGATATTTATTTTCTGTTTGGCAAGAGGCAGTGGATAGCTGTGAGAGATCAGATGTCTCCCTGCTCAAAGCAGTTAACAGTTTTGCCCTTAAGGACTGAAACGATTTTTTTTCCCCCAAGATAATAACTTTTAAAATAAACACGGAGGAAAGCTTCGGGGGAGGAAAGTGCTATTTGAGAGGTTATATTTACATGCAGAAAACCCACCATCAAAAGGATCGGATAGAGACTTTGTTTTCGGAGGCGATGCACGGCTACTCGCTACGAAGAAAAGCAGGACTCCGCGGGTGCGGATTGCCGGTGCTTTGCCTTTTGCAGAGAGGGGAGAGTGCTCAGGCTGCTTAGGACCCCCAGAAGGCCCCCTCTGACACGGCAACCAGAGCCGGACCATACTCCCCCTGAAGCCAATGCTCCCGTGCAATCGCCGCAGCTTCCAGAGAGCGCAGGATCGGGCCCTGGGGAGAAAAACTTCGGACACCTGCTAGTGCCTCTCTGCTCACAGCCGGGACCATCCCGAGCCATCGCAGCGGGGTGCCCAAAATCGAACACTGAAAAATTAAGTGGACAAAAAAGCAGCGCCTTTTGGGGTTCGCCCCAACCAAGCGCAGGGGTGCGAGCCCGGCCGGTCCGGAGCCTCCGCCTCAATTTGGCGCTGCCCGTCCGCGGGCAGCCGCTGC